GTGTCGCCCGCTCGCGAGGGATCCTCCACCCTGCACACTGGTCACGGCTTGAAGTGCTCAATCCGACCTTCATTTTTAACGACTACCTGACGGTACGGTTGCTCCGCTACGAACTCTCTCCTTTCGAATGGTGAGAAAGAGGTTATAGGGAGAAAGAGCTGACCCTAAGAAGTTAGAACTCGTCCAACCACGCCCTTTCTTCGCCCTATGCACGTACAAGCGCGGCTCAGCATGAGGCTATACATGGGGCACTTGAGACAGGCCTTTCCAGTTTTTTTCTTTGTTTTGTGATACCCTGCCGCTTTGCATTGGCTGCTAAGTTCGGCCTTATGATAGTTGAATAATTATTTCTCAAATTCGACACGAGGTTGATAAGAACACCAGTCGGCTGATTTTTCAGCAGGATTGCCTTTTCGTTAGGAATATGGAAACCGAGTCATAATTCATACGATCAAATGTCAGCCCACCCTACGAGACTTTTGAGACTCACTAGTTCAACACATAATCAGAAGGAATAATAGTTAATCATAACTAGTTCAGGTACCGTACCTTATAAGACAACAAGATTAGCCCGCGTTTGACGGTAATTATGGGCGACAAATCACTATACCGTTGAACGCGGAATGATCTTGTGCCCTTGTGAGGTAAGGTACTTGATTTTCCTACCCAGTTATGCGTTGAACTAATGGGACCCGAAGGTCTCGTAGGGAGATATGACATGTGATCGTATAAATCATGACTCGTTTGCCATCTTCCACGCTCTAAAAGCAATCCTGTCGAAAGGTTAGTGTTCATAGCAACCTCGTGTCGAATTCCAAAAAAGTGAATATTCTTGTCATTAGGATTTGAGTCCCACAACTCACCATTTTTCAACCCGGGACATGCCTTCAAAAGCGATTTCTCAGTCATTGAAGTATCAAAAGACGCCATGTGGCGCCGTGGCAGTTCTAATATGTTGGACTGCGAACCTATGTTGGACCATCACCTTCAGTGCTAATATTTTGGAGAGTGTTCAGATCTGATGATGAAATGTATCGGGTGCGGAACAGATTTCCATTGAAGATGTTCAGGATAAGATGTAATGGATTTTGATATGTTTTCCAATCCGCTATCTCAGCCATACTTTTGTGTCGCCTAATAAATCTTTTGAGATGTTTGTGGTAATTATTTGCGGAATAAATTACTGTCTATTTCAGTGGAGTTCATTGAAATATCTCAAGCGTGCTACATTACACGCTTAACATCACTGTTGATTTTCGCTGTTGTTTAATACCTAACACTTCCCACGGAATCTTTGTTCAAGAGGGTGCCTATGGGCGTTTCTAACTCAGTCACACCATTCTAGCTTCTAGCAAGGCCACTTTCATATGTATGTGCGTCGCTGAGAAGTTTCAGAATCATGAACTTGACCCAAGTGGAGAACCTGTTAACAAGGTTTTGATGGAAAAGAGAAAAAACCAGAACTCACAGTACGCCATTGATAAAAAGGAAACTGTGTTTGCAGCCTACATTGATTTTGCCAAGGCCTTCGACTCCGTTCCTTTGCAACTTTTGTTTCTAAAGCTAAAACAGTTCGGCATCACCGGATGTCTTGCGAAGTTCATAGAATCCTTCCTCTGTAACAGACACCAGAGGGTTGTCCTCGACGGTTCATGCTCCAGAATCTACCAGACCGAGAGTGGCGTTCCCCAAGGCTCTTGTCTAGGACCTCTGTTGTTCATCATGTACATAAACGATCTGCCTGAGAGCCTTCCACCTGGTATAAATTGCACGATGTATGCGGATGATGTCAAATTATACTGCATGAACCAACCCTCCCTGCTGCAGGCAGCTCTTGATGCAATATCGTTTGTGGTCTAGGAAATGGGGACTCGCAATCTCCCTTGATAAAACAGTTGTTTTGCGGTTGGGTGTTTCTACCCCTTCATGCACCCAAATTTCGTGATTTCGATGGTATCTGAGTAAAAGAAGCAGAAGAAGCTGTTTACTGATTTAAGGGCTATCACTCAATATTCGCTTTACCTGCACTTCAGCGAATACATAAGAAAGTGGCTGCATTCAGCTCATTTGCCAAGGCCAAACATATCATCTCGCGCCTTCCTTCAGAAGCCCATGAAAATCTTGTTTTAAGCATTATATTGTAGGTATGTGCCCCTACGCCTCGTTAGGTATTGCCACCTATGCGCGGAGCCCCTATACGCCGGGCGCTACCAAGGTGAAAATCGGTCGAGGAGTTGTTGTCTAATTCACTGAACGCCGATTTGGCGGTGAGGGTTGATGCCTTCCAGATGTATCATATAGAGACAGATGATTACTTGGAGCGAATGGATTACACTCCTGAAAAGGAAGAAAGTTCGAATGAATTTACGCAGACTAACTTTCAAAATTTCCGCTAGGTTGGGAGACTTAGACTTTGATGTCCTTTTGGTTCACAAAGATCCTTCAACGACTTGCGGCGCACCAGAGGTCACCGATACAAGCTCATAAAAAATAAAGTCAACAGAGTACCGCAATTCTTTTACTCAACGGATTATCAGTTTTTGGAATAGTTTGCCAACCAGTACTATAAATTCGAGTTCTCCTAAGTCGTTTAGGAGCAAAGTGAGAAAAGTTATGATTTCACAAGGGTGGTTCTGAGAACAGAAACTAAATTATTACACTTTGAAAGGCTGAGTGGCGATTAAGTGATTTTTGTATTCCTATTTCCTGTACTGTTGTATTTTTGACTGTGTGTTAAGTCGCCTTACATTGAATGTGTTTTGTGTTACTATCAAGATGTATTCCGTTACCTAGTTGCACGCTCCGCAGTTGCCTACCACTCACTTGTCCTCGCAAGGCTGTTGGAGCTGGAGGGGTACTCAGTTTTGTGCGGAACCTACTAAGTATGGATATCCGGAGTCCTATTTATGCTGTGGATCGCTCAAGACCTCCTGACAAAATGTTGCGGGCATCTAGCCTTGTTTGCCCAAACTGATTACACTCCTCTACACCGCAAATAACTTTTATGCTGTTGTTTCCCACTGAGATTACTAGATTGTTAAATTCACCGGAGAATTTTTTCTGGCGTTATTCCTTTCCATATTATGTGTGCCCACTGTCAATCAGTGAAATGCCATAATTAAATCATAAATCACTAGGGCCAGTTACGTAGATTTTATTCGGGCATGCCCTTTACCTGATCTGTCTCAATAGTTTCACCATAACCTGCTCTTCGGATCATGGGGAACCATCCGAGCCGACCTTTCAACTTATTGGCTCTGTGCTGGAATTACTTCCAGGCTTGTGGGAGGAAATGAACGATGAACCTAGATCGCCAGGTCTCCTTCATTTAGAAGACAAACAGTATACTCATCCCGTTACAGGCGAAGGGCGTGCGATGTACGGCGTGTATTAGTTGCGTATAAGAACCCCAGAGGCGTCGGTTAATCTCTGCATAAGGCATGGATTCAAACATTCCCGATCCCACCCCTCACCACCAGTGGTGCCCTCGTTGGGATGAAGGGCGGGTGTCCAAGCGGGGATGATTGGCGGCGACGGTGAACAATACTGTTGAAACTTTTTGAAACATCCAATAATTTTCCTTAGTGAATGTCCTCAAGATCTCGAACCTTCCATGTGTCAACTATACCTGAAGATGCAGACGAAGCGGACAAGACAATCGTAACTTGTCCGTTTTCGCGCGCCGCGGACAAACTCCCAATGGCATTAGTTTGTCGAATGGAGCAGCGAAACTCCTATGAATCCAAGCGCAAGATTCCTTTGTGCGGTATCAGGTTTCTCGTCGCTTCAACACTCAAATCCAGGTAGAAAGGAGGACAAATCGTCGTGGGTAGAAGCGGGCCGCACGCCACGCCCACTAGAGCGGCACATTACAGTTGTCTTGTCATACCCGGGACTCAGTCGCCCCAACTTCAACATTCCTGATATATTGAATCCGGTTAGTTATCAACTGGCGTAGTGCTTTCAACCCATCCAAACGATCTCTCAGTTGTAAAGGACGACCAGTTCAAATACAGTTTTGAAAACTTTAATTCCGCATGGAGTTTTAATTTTCATCCTTCCAAGAGTCAGAGCTTGCAGCTGCAAGTGCAGCCACCAAACGCCGCACTTGCAGCGCTTGCACGCTGTTTTTGTGTTACATCATTGAATGTCCTTGGCGGTCGATACAAGCACGGCCTCGGCCGAGCGATGCATAAATAATGAGATTCAAAACAAAAACTTTCATGTGTTCCGGCTTCAACTAGAGCAGCAACTATGTTTGAATTATAACCGTAAAGTATAACAATAGTCTGTAATATAAATGTAAATATAATGCGCAGTAACAGTAAGTGTAATGAAGAAAGAGTGGCCGCTCAGTAGCTTCAGAAGCACCGCAGTCTATATCACGGCGAACCGAGGGGGCGTGTCAAGGGGCGGGACGTGGCTTTGAGCCCAGAGGTAGCTGCTTTTTCTACCAACAGCTGCCATTCTCAACCGGCTGGACAGTGACAACGGAGTGAGGCTGTCATTAGTCCCAGAATCTCCACCCATCTGCAGCGATTACGCGTCTGATTCAGATCTGTGTGCAACCGCTGTCTTTTCTGTCAGGGACCATGTTTGTATTGTCCTTCTGTCTTCTTGTTCTCTCGTCCTTTGTATTTGGTGTCTCAGCTTACCTGCTTTATGCTTCCCATCGAAAAATGAAACCCCTATGGAAGGAGAAGAATTTCATTTGAAGTGCTCTCGACAGTTTTGTCTAGTTTTTCTTCGGTG